TGAGGTCACCGAGTCGCCATAGATACCTCACAAGCTCTTCCCCAATAAGCGGCAGTGAGGTCACTGAGTCGCCATAGATACCTCACAAGCTCTTCCCCAATAAGCGGCAGTGAGGTCACTGAGTCGCCATAGATACTCCACAAGCTCCTCCCCAATAAGCGGCAGTGAGGTCACTGAGTCACCATAGATACCCCATGAGCTCCTCCCTAATAAGAGGCAGTGAGGTCACTGAGTCGCCATAGATACCCCATGAGTTCCTCCCTAATAAGAGGCAGTGAGGTCACTGAGTCGCCATAGATACCCCATGAGCTCCTCCCTAATAAGAGGCAGTGAGGTCACTGAGTCGCCATAGATACCCCACAAGCTCCTCCCCAAAGCCAGCCACAACTATTAATTCAATATTCTAAAAATGTGTAAGAGTCATTAATTATCAAATTTAAAACTGCAGTTTGAATTACATCGTCGGACACTGGCCCGTAATAGTTGCTTTACAGGGCAGCAGAATGGGCTGCCAAAGAGGGGTTTTTAATAGATTTAGGCAAACTGATTAAAGCAAGAGTGGCGAGTTATTTTTGGGAGAAATCGCTGGGAGGCCCCGGGGCACGTGTGAGAGGCGTATGTGGAGGGTATGATACTCACCTACCCGTCCTGTTTGGCAGCATGGCATATTGGCGCTTAACGAGATTTGCAGAGCGGTGGCAAGGCTTCAAGAGCCAGACGTCAGCGGCGCTTTCCATTGGCCAAGAGCTCAGGTGGGGTGGGGGGGTGTTTGGGGGTTGGGGAAAGGCAGGGATGGGGGTCGCAAGCGTGAATGGAAAGTCGATCGGTGGTAAGCTGCTTTGGTGAATCAGATGGCTTTAAAGGGAGGATTAAGCAGGCATTACCGTGCTTTTGTCCTCTCTGCTCCCTTTCGGCTTGCCTGCGCTTCACATCGGCCGCCCGATCTGCCCAGACACCCCATGGCCCTCTGTGAGGTCAGACAGGAAGCTGCCTTTCACGTTCAGGACAGTAACGATGACAGATTAGATTATGCTGACTTACATTAGCAGCTGATGAACCCGCTGTTTTCATCATAAATTTGCGCTAATGCTAACTCCGAACATATTACCAGGACAAACACAGGAAGGATTTTTATGAAAGATGATATTAAGTCCATTGTATTTGAATATGCTTACCTGTGCTGTGGATAAAAGCATTCATTAATTAAAAAAAAAAAAGAAATGTTAATTAAAATATGTGAAATGAGAATAGTTATGGCCAGTGTAGTTTGAGTTTTTAATCTATTGTCAAGCTGAATTAATATTCATGGTTCTCCAAATGAATATAATGCAAATGGTATAAGAGTAAGTCACTATGACTGGCAGTGTGAGTGTGATTTAATGTGCCTGAAATCCTGCAGATCCATCTGCATGCCTGCAGTTAAGCTAAAGGCAGCCACTCCGAGCCATTCCAGTGTAAACCCACAGTTATGACTAGTGATCTGTCTTAGTTACACCAGACTGGCTTCATGCATTTTGGATGGAGCAAAGGGGCCCTTACAGGCTCATCATTGTGACACTGTTTAATCCAGCCTTTAAAACAGCCTTTATTTTTATAAAAGCTCTGTAGCACCATCAGTTTGATTGTACCAATCAGGAACAGTCACACTCCTTTATCCTCCTCAACTCTGATTTCTCTGGTTTTCTTAGCTTCTAAATACTTGGAAAAAGTATAAAAGCATCATCTTTTGGAAGTGAAAAGGTTAGAGGAGGGTATGTTTCCAATTTGTAGCAGCATTTGAGTGTTTTTTTTTTAAAAGTAAAATGATGTACCTGCAACCCTGAACAGGAAAAGTTGTTCCAGAAAATGGATGGATAGATGGATGGATGGATGGATGGATGTTGTTTTCTGGAACCTGGCAGGGCACGGTGCATAATTTATCCAGAAAGATCTGCATGTGGTGATGGGGCCGGCGATGTGTCCTTCTAATGGTCATGTTGGTAACCAAGCCTCGTAAAAGGGAGATCGGTCTGGATGCAAACCCATGGTTATGCAGCCATTTACCCGGATTGTACAGGTGAAAATGAACTAAATTGCTAAATTCTAACAGCAGCAGTTCTGACTTTATCCAGGCCTGATGAGAAGTTAATCCCTTTGGCCTTTAGTCTCATATTCACTCTTTTAATGGGCACAAGCAAGCCAAGTGGAAGTGTGAGACTTCACACGTGTAGTTTGAGTGTGAATCTCACGTGGGCAACGTGGCTTTTTTGTGTCGTTATAGTTCTAGAATGGTAAACTTCTGATTATGGGTTTCTAGAGGGGCTTCACACTTCCAGCAAGGTTAGTACCATTGAAAACAAGATCTATCAGGTCCTCAAAGTCCCTTCTGATTCATATAGTGTGAATTTGGTATTTTATTCAGTTTCTACAATAACAGTGAAATGTATTTAGCTATGTTATTTCTGTGTATCCCCAAGACCCTGACCAGGGTAAGCAGATGGATAGATGGATGGATGGATTGATTTTTGTGTATGCGATGGAGAGTTAGTGTATATTTAACAACATGAGTATTTTCAACTGCAGGTGACTCTGTGCTCGTCTTTACCTCATCCATGGCTTTTCATTGGCCCCATTAAGACGAAAAAGCGAGCTGTGGTCAGCCAGCTCACCCAGGTCCCTGAAAGGTGCGGGGAAGGTGCAGGCAGTGGGAGAGGCGGGAGAGAGGAGGGAGCCCAGTGCGGGCAGTGGGCGGGAGAGAGGAGGGAGCCCAGTGCGGGCAGTGTGAAGTGCCCAAGGGACAGATGGACCACAGTGACACCCAGCCGGATCTTTCCAATACCCTCTGCCAAGCTAATTCAGAAGCCTGGCTCCAACAGGGCCACTATTAGCAGGGAACAAACAGCACTGCAAACAAACCATCGGCTCGAAAGTGGACGTTTTTGGCCGCTTGGAGCATTGCTGACACTTATATCACTAACCCATCAAACTAAGAAAAATCTGCTTGAATTTTTCACTTTTTAGTACAGAATATGCATGGTAGGACTGTTGTATATATTTCATGCATTGATTCTTCCTTTGATGTGTCTGCGTCAACAAAATAAGCAAATTATAACTTCAACTGTGTCAATTTTACATTTGATAATATTGTAGCGATCGCTCTTGGCCTGTTGGTGGTCTGCTTGAGGTCTCTCCCTTCAGCATGGGAGACCAGCATTTCGGATCATTTCGGTCATCCAGTGCAGTGTTTTGCTGTATATACTGTATATATGCTGTAAGCTCCAGCATAGACCAGTGTAACGGTCTTTGGGATTTTTGCCACAGGAGGTAAAGCAGCAGTTCTGGTCTCAGCCCTGATTGTTCCCAGCAGAGTTGTTGTAATGTGTCATCTTTTGAAATCCCCCCATGATTCCCAACCATTTTAATGGGACAAACATGGAAATATAAAAAGCAAGCATGTGTAAGACATTACAGCCAAGCTCATTAAAACCGTAACTCATTATAGCACATCACTGCTATTCAGAAAATTAAAATCATGTAGAGACAATGACATTCATCGCCTTCATGCTGTTAGACACCACATCAGCTGTGCAAAGAAGAAATGCAGGATGGGTGGTGTTTTAATGACTCGTGTCTCTTTGGTGATTCCCATTTATCTGTATTTATCATCAAACATATCTTACCAGCATTTCAGTAATTTTACAGATTATTGTTCTGATCCAGTTAGTGCTGGTTTCTGTGCACTAATGAACCAGTTCATAATGAGAGGTGACCCAGTGCCGGACAGTGAGTCCTCGACTGCTCCCTGATTTTTTTCCTCCAAGAACAACTGGTGCTTTAATGAGATGACCAGGCATCTTTCCAGGATCCAGTCAAAATGTAACCATGATACTGAGACCATAGACTTGATGGACAACCTCAGGAATGCTGCACAGTTAATGTAGTTAAATGTATGACCATGTACCACTCCAAATTTAATATTTACATTTTGTAAATGCTTTTTTTTTCCACAGGTTGGACTTCACACATTCAGCATTTACTGGTTTTATTTGTGTTCCTGTTTTCTTTATTTTGGGACTATTTTGAATACCTTAATGTTGTTATAAAATGAAAAACACCGGCAGGCAGGATTCATGTGAGGATTAAGGCCATCAGCTGTGCAGAGCCTCAGTGGTTAAGCTCCCTGGCTGGTGTCCACAGTCCATCGTTCAGGTCCTAGATAGGCTCCACTAAAGGTTGCACTAAAGTTGCAGATTTGTATACGGCCGCAGCCCTTTTTCTGCAGAGTTTGCATGTTCCCAGAGCCTGTGTGGGCCTCCTCCCACATGACATGCTGTTGAGGCGAATAGCTGATTCCAAAGTGCCGCTATTGTGATTTTGTGAGTGAATGTGTGTGTGTGTGTGTGTGTGTTTGTGTGCTTGTGCTGGTGTGTGTATGCGTGCCCTGGAATGGACTACAGTCTTGTCCAGGGTATATGAAGTATTCCTGGCTTCTTGTGTGTGCAGTTGCACATTTGCACATCCGGTTTAAATTAAACCCTCCTCAAGGCGAATATGTCTGTCAGCCCTCTATCTGCGGCATTCCACTCACCCCCCCCCCCCCCCAAATACCCCACACATTAGAACCATACCCGTATTTTAACTGTAGTCTCTGTGGTCCCTTGAGATGTTTAAACATACCAGCAGCTGCTCCAAGTCCCCGTGGAGAGACTGTATTCAAAGGAAGGCTGGCTGTTTGATGGTGTCCATCAAGAACCAAGTTTATTTACTTTTAATTAGTTACATTTCATTGTTTTGCTGACTCATGTGTTCAAATTGCATATTATTTCACCCACTTATAGAGCTAGGACCAGTGTTGTACAAGCAGCATTCAGGTTAAAATCCACATCCTTAACCCTGGTACATGCCACCTAGTGTATGTCATAAATAAAGTGATCGTTTTTTTCAGTATTGGCTCTTTCTGTTTTCCTCAGATCTTCTTTGACCAAGGATGCATCAAAATTCTTCGACTGTGAAACGGGAGTCTTGGTTGCCCCGGTGGTAATACAAGTAGCTGGCCAGGTCAGTGTCACAGTGTCACTTTCTAATTGATAATGTGATACACAGAGCGTGAGAACAAATCCATCCCTGGTCAAAGCACTGACTGCTTTTCACTCTCCTGGTTCCTGTCACATGCATTTAAGCTTTGTAGCTAAAGACTAATGCGCTCCCTGCTGTCCGTACCTGTGTGTGTGCTTGGGCTGTCAGACACTGTATGTCATTGCACATTCCTTCAACTTTTTATACAAATTTTATACAATTTATTTTTTTAAATAAATGTTAAATTGATGGGGATTTTTCTACCCTTGTTTTAGTTTTTTGTTAATTCGACACATTGATCTTTGTCTCTTCACTAATTGCACACGATGAACCCATTAATATATTTGTTGGTTTGTTTTTTTGTTTATCTATTTATTTTTGTGTTTTTCTTGTATTTTTAAATTAGTTCATTAATTTTACTAATTTTGCAACTATTTTATTAAATCGTATGACCGCTTCCGGGCAACTATGATCAGGAGGCCAGTATAAAAATTAAACAAACTGACCTGGGACCAGTTTTGCTGTGTTTTTTTAGATTTTTGCTGTTACATTATGCGGTCCATTCTGTCTTATTTTTAAACCAGAGCTTAAGCTGTTATGGTGTGATAATTAGGGGTGATATATGACTCTGTACGCAATGGACTTGTGCACGCATGTCACGTCAAGCCAATTGTGCTTTGCTGTCACACCATCCATATACAGATATGCAGTATCACCAAATAATAAGGGCTAATATGTGCACTAATCAACAGGGCTTTGGAGAACGAGTGTGAACATTTGTCCGGACGCCAGCTTTTCTGTACTACGCAGAAGCACAATTCAGTAAGCAGATTAGCAGCGTACCTAAAATATTAACAAGAGGTGTATTGTGACACCCAGAAGTTAGTAATTAGTATATATTTGGCATATTCTTATGTTTAATAGATGCGTTGGACTTTGAACGGCAAGAAGTACCACAACACCACTGACGTCTTTTTACGTAGATTATCCACAAGGTCTCCTCTTTCTAAAGGTGCTGTGGTCTCTGAGCTGTCCCTTGCTTTGTCGCCACTTCAGTGCTTATCACTTCTACGATATACCAAAAGAGTAACATGTGACATATTCTGCTATCCAAGTTTAATAACCATAAGAATACACTGAATTTGTACAGATCTCCAACTTTTGGACGTCACAATACAAATCTCATAAATATTTTAGGCGTACCACTAATCTACTTGCCAAATTGTGGGCATAAGCAGACGTCCGTATCGTACTGAAAAGCATGCGCCGAATAATCGCAATTATATCGTGATGTGATGTCATGCAGCCCTAGAAATAATGTTCTCCCAGGTGCACGGCACAACATACAAAGGGCACTGACAAGGGTAGAGTTTGCACAATGCTTAAAGTGCAAGACACGGGACAACCCGAAACCGCAGTGATAGGCACAAGGGATAATACACATATTGCAGTGTTTATGTAAACCAATACAGCAGCATAAAAGTCTGGAATGAATATCATGGAACTGAATAAATTAATAAGTTAAAGTGACCAGTGTGGATGGGGGTGCTCTTAATCCCAAAAACTCCTCTAGAAGTGCCAGATAAATTGTGGACCCCCAAGATTCACTGTCAGCTGCATAAGAGAGACATGAGAATGAAATATTTCCTGGATGCCTGTACTTGTGGTAAATTGCAAATTAAATCTTCTGTCGTGTTTTTGAAATTTAAGTGCAGTTCCATTATTAGGAATACTGACTTTGTTGAGAACAGCATTATCCATTCACAGTTTTGTTTTATGTGCTGCGTTTTATTGCAAACGTGGGTTTGTGCTGCTGTGAGCTGCTAGCAGAGATTCCCATATGCACCATCTTTGACTGAAAAGTCATGTAAGGCATTGGGAGCAAGTCGAGTTTGTGCCTCATACTGCTATGGAAATGATTCATCTAATTCCTCTCTCTGGATGGGGCTCATCTGCTCTTGGCCAAAAATGCCACCGCGTGCTACTCATTGCCCCTGAAAGGGGAGGTTTGGGGACATGGCGTGCTTCGCTATCTCGCAGCTCCCGGCCGGCTTGCAGGTCTCACTGACGCACGCGGAGAGAAAACCTGTCCCCCGTGCGGGGGGGCTGACGGAAGCACCCCTCCCCTGCCCACGGCAGCCTGGCTCAAGGGCCAACCGGGAGGCGGTGTGGCATGGAGCTGGGCACCAGGGCCGTGTAAACAAGATCAGCAGCAGACTCGCAAAAGGCGTCCGCCTGGCGTCCAGGAATGAAAGGGCTGCGCTCCTCTACACAGTGTTATGTGGATGCCTTTCTGCACGCCTGTGCACATGTGCGTGTGGCGGGCCAGCCTGGGCCCCCCGAGGAGCCACGTCTGTAGTGTTCCGGCTGTAGGGAGGTTTTATAATTACACTCAGCATTGCAGCAATGGGTCGCACAGGCTCTGTTGGCGCCGCCCTGTAGGATGGCTGCACCGCTCACAACCAGCTGCCCAGGCTCTGGGTTTCCAAGGGCTGCTCTCTCGCTGCATCATACCCAGCTGCCTCTCCTGCCTCGTGATCTGTACGCCCATTCTTTACCTCTGTCACGGAATTAGCGCACCTAATGGTTTCCACAGTTACTTTGATCGTTTGCTGAAATTTCCGTCTTTTTATTTAGCACAGTGGATAAGGGCATTTTCCTCTCTTAATCCCCCCCCCCCCCCCAGTATGTGGTGAATTAGACGCGCCCCGCTTCACTTGTCTTCCAGGCCCGCCCCGTCCTGTTCACTGTCCACGCCATCGTTACGACCTCAGATCTGGAGTTTGACAGGACGGACGTGGACTTTGGGCACTGCACCATTTTCGACTCTGTGAAAAGCAGCGTCCGCTTAACGAACCTCTCCCTTCTGCCACAGGACTTCGGGTTTTTGGCGATCCCTAAGGTACGACTCACACTCCGGGTCATGTAGCGCCCCCCAGCACTGACTGCTAGTATGCCATGTTGTTTAATTTACATCCCAGGCATACAGAGTTCCATTTCCCAGCCCTGTCATCTTAGAAGCCGCTTCTATTTATAATTGACTGTATCGTTATCAAGGGTACTTTTTGTACTTGAAGATGAAGTGTGGGTTGAGCAGGAAAAGACTAGAATAAGATCGCCATCTGTTGGATGTACTTTGCATCTACAGCTTTTCGTTTCACCGGGCCTAAACACAAATGAAAGGGCTTGTTTTTTTTCCTCATCTAGTTCATAGACATTCAGCCCAATGACGGCTTTGGCACATTACTTCCCCTGGAAACTCTGGAAATTGACATCATTTTTAGCCCGGAGAAGGCAGGGGAATACAGCTTCCCGCTCACCTGCAAATCAGGAATTAACCGGTAAGCGGGATGCAGCATGAGAGCCGAGGCTCATGCGAACATGTGCTTAACGACAGCCTGCGATAGATGACAAGTCAGTGCAGATGCAGTGAGTCTGCAGTGTGCAGGAGAAGGTGCAGATCAGTATGACTCACAGGACGAGATCTGGCTTCCTTATGTATGTATTCTACAGCAAAAAGATCCATGCGTTCAGGCTCATGTGTGGCCTTGGAGCCTATCTCAGGCAACACAGGGGTAAATAATAACTCTTATAGGTGTATTAGTCCATGCAGGGCACACATTGACATACTTGAAATCTGCACCTCGATTCCAAATCCAGGCCTTGTTTTCAGTTCTCCCAGATAGTTTAATAACTATTGATTCTGATTGGCCAGAGGTTTCACACCTGGCTCACAGATAAAGGAAGGCTGGGAAATAAGCAGGGCTGGGACCTTGATTTGAATAGCCCCGCACTAGAGGAAATTTAGAGAAGTCAAGTAGGCAAACTGCTTGTCTTTAGACTGAGGAAGGAGCCCCCTCTCCCGCAGAGCAGCTGGGTTCGAACCCGTAGCCCTAAGCCACCATGCCGCCCGAACATTAGTGTGTTAGAGTGCAGCTTGGCCACTCCAGCCCCTGTGCCGGTGCAGGGACTTCAGGCTCTCCTGCCGGGCCGCGGCCGCACACCCCCAGCTGCAGCTGTCCCACTCCCTGCTGAAGTTTGCCACCACCGCAGTAGGGGATCACAGTACGGCCCTGCTGTACGTGATCAGCCCTCAGGCCGAGCCCCAGGGGACGCCACAGCTGTTTCAGTTTGTCCCGCCGGATGATTCCGAGATCAGCATCACCCCCACTGGAGGGCAGGTCCTGCCTGGACAGGTAATAAATACCTCACCAGGAGGCATTCCGCCCGGGTTTGTTTACGCTTTATCATGCATGCATAGAGGGGGCACTGTGATGAACTGCATACAGATGTTTATTGGATTCTCAGCTAATGGGATCCCCAAGTATTAAGTCCAAGCCGATTATTTTCCCACCTGTTTACTGGCTTTAGGATGCAAATTTCTTTGTTACCCATTTTGCAATGTATTTATAATGTATATTGCAATGTAGTTATAAGCAATTCCAAAATACCCCCCACCCCCTAAAACACACCTCCCAGCCTCATGAAGAGCCCACCTGCCTTGTGTTCTCAGAGGTGCCTTGTCCAGGTGTCGTTCCGGCCCAGGCTGTCCGAGGAGCAGGTGAGGGAGGAGGCGGTCCGGCTGCTGTGCCGTGGGGAGCACCGGCGGCAGGAGGGGGGGCCACTCGGCCTGGGAGCCGGGACCAACCCAGACTCCGAGGAGGACGTGTCGGTGAGGCACCCGGCTGCTCATTCGCATACATCACTGCCTGCCTCAGATCAAAGAAAGCTGAAGGGATGTCCGTCATTCCGAGCTGCTCAAAGTTATTACAGGGAACAGAGTCTGGGTGTAGAATATGGGTGGTGGCACAGCGGCTAAGGCTCAGGGCCTGGAGTCGGAAGATCTCAGGTTTGAACCCCAGCCTTGGCAGAACAGTCATATATCCATAGAGCCTTGAAAATGGCCCTTAACCCCCCAGTTCTGGGAGTGCTACATATTATCTGACCCTGTACTGTGGAGCCCCCACCCCAAAAGCTATAGAGAGCAAGATTAGGTAGGTGTAGAGAGGAATTCCATTGTACTGTACCTGTATTCATACTGTACCTGCATTCATACTGTACTGTACCTGCATTCATACTGTACTGTTCCTGTATTTATACTTGTGCAAATTGCTAAGAAAGGATTTAGTTTTTTATTTATTTTTAAGTTATATGTACGGATTCTAGGAGGAGGAGTTATAACCTTGAGTAAAGTGATTAGCTATCTATACCGATCCAGGTGATTGGTATTTTGATCAGCTGTATGCAATTAAGTAAAAATCTAATTTTGCTATTTTCCTTCTTTGAATTAGCATCACAAAGCATTTTGATGTTTATCAGACTAAGGGGATTTCAGTTGACTCCAAGGTTTGTGACGGGCTACCCCAGAGACCCGTGCCTTTGCAGGACAAGAAGGACCCACCAGTTGGCCCAAATAGAACCAGCGGGTCACCAGCTAGGGGCACCACAGGCAAGGGTGTGACAAAGGACAAGAGCAGCGGGGTGTGTCTGACACTCCCTAAGACTCAGAGCCCGTTCCAGCCACCCAAAGCAGAGGACATCCAGGAAGGGTAAGGCTGCGCAGGAACATCAGCGAAGGTCGTTTCGTTGACAGGTTTCAAGCAAAGATTTTACACAGAAAAAAGGTTAACAGCACCAGGACATGCTTAACCCCTAAGTGTCTATACATATGTAGGACAGAGGGATTGTGAAGGAAAGAGTAACAGATCACCTACAAAGTGAAAGAAATTCAATCCGATTCTGTGTGATGCATCAACTTCAATACTAAAACACATAGTTCTTCTTGAAAGCTCTAAGACTTTATGTCATTGTGTCTCAGTGATTAAAAAATGACGAGAAGCAGGCAGACAGAATCAGCCTGATTAAATATTAATTAAGGGAGTACGCGCCACACATATTCCAGGAATTCATGGCCTGGTTGCCATCTCTCTATTCATCTTCTAAACACTTTTCCTGATCAGGATCGTGGGGGCTGGAGATACTGCCGGCCAGCACAGGGCATGGGCTACTGCCATGATGGAATGCCGGCGGCCCTCTTAAAGTATACTGATTATGTGTACGGCGTATCCGGACTGCGCTGTTCACCCTTTCAGAACCCAGTATAAAATGCTACGGTTTCTTGCCGGTTTATGTAACCGCCGGTTACATAAGACCCGTCAGGCCATTAGCGGTGGGATTCTCTGCTTTTTCCAGCTCGGAGGAGTACAACATAGGCAAGGCCTCCCTGCTCCGCTCCTGCCCGAGACACTTCAGTCGCTATGTTGTCCCCTGCTTTGTCACCGGCGACAAGCACATGGGCCTCGCTCAGGACGGAGGGCTCCCACACAGGTACCTTTAAACCCTGAAGATCTGGGCCCATCAGCACTATCTCTAATGGGTTATTCAGTACAGAGTCCCAGGGAAGCTGGACAACCTGGGGAATGTCCTGGGTGGGAGCAGAGATATGTCTGTTACTACACATTGCTGTCTAATAGGAAATTCTGCCCAGAAGTGCATTAAAATGCATCTATAAACAGTACCAGTCAAAAGTCTGGACACACCTACTGAAAAGCATTTTGTTTTTCAACACAATAATAAGCACACCTTGCAGTTATGAAGTGAGTAATATCTTGTGAAGAAGAAAAGATGTGGAGTTCTGTGACAGATGACCTGGCCCCCACAATCCCTCCCCCGACCTAAACCACACACAGATGGTTTGGGATGAGTCAAAGGTTAAGAGCAAGGAAGCCAACTTGTGCCCAGAACTTGTGGAAACTTCTTCAGGACTGTTGGAGAAGCATTCCAGGCGGCTACATCTGGAAGCTGGCTGGAAGAATGTCAGGAGTCTGCAATTCTGTCAGTGAAGCCAAAATTTTGAAGAGTCAAAAATTTGAGAAAGTTTTGAAATGTTGACCCTTGGTCTCTTGGCAACATTTGATATGCATTACTTCATTACCTCGAGGTGTTTTACTATAAGGTGAATTACACAGCTAAAATACAGACAAATGCATTAAAAGCAGATGTTTTCAGACTTTTGACTGGTACTGTATAATTCATACCAAAGGTCTAAAGTCCCTGAATATCTACTGTCGGGTGTCTCCTGCACTTCCCGTTGTCTGTCAGTCCCCATAACCCCCTGCACCTGGAGCTGCACTGCCCCGCTGTACGCCCCTGCTTGGTGGTCATCTCCAACAACGGCCAGACAACGCTCAATTTCCATCGGGTGGAAACAGGTCAGCCCAAGTCTACGCTCTCGCATCATTCAAAGTGCATAACAGTGGCCATAGACCTGTGATCAGTCTATCAAGAGCCAAAATAGATAGGAAGGTTCAGTCCAAGGTAAATACTGAAACACTAGGTCTTTCACAGATACATTTACAGAAGTCCACGTGTATTTACTGGGACTCTGTCCACTGTTATAAGTGTTCAGGTATTTAATATGTTAATTGAATTGTCTGTGCTTCCGTAGTCTGTTTCTGTTTCTTCCTCAGGGCAGAAGGTTGTGCAGCAGGTCACAGTGCAGAATATCTCTCAGGAGACTCTGGAGGTATCCTTTTAAAGATGAAAGCCAGCTCATGCTGGGTGAAGCAGGTGGTGTAGCGGCTCGGGAAGTATCCGAGACTCTGTACTATTACAGGCCAGCAGGGGGCAGAGTAATGTCACGCGGCGGGGTTTCAGTGATCATTGTGTTACCATGTGCTGTGTGCCGGCAGGTGATAAAGATGATGAAACTTATGCTGGCCCATTCTGACCAGCTGCCTTAGACCTTAGAGTCAGCTGGCTGGGCAGGGAAAGAGATTGAGGAGATGTGGAGAAAGCATGGAGGTGGCTCTTCTATATGTATAGCAGTTTTGATTTCAGTTATTTCTCCTGCCTTGTGGCTGCCTGCCACACTGCTCTACCACTGAAGGGCTAAGCATCTCCTAAGGAACCCAGTTACGTACATCATGAAGTCATGCATTCCTCTGCAATGCTGTGATGCCAAGGAAGAGTGCTTACAGCACCCTTAACAGGACCTCTCGCAGCTGAGCTCTTCCCTTCTTGACATCTACGGCCCGTTTGTCATCCTAAATGCCCTCAGGCCCCTTGAACCCGGAATGTCACATACCATCCTTCTGAGTTTCACTCCCACTCAAGCTAGGAAGGTAAGAGCAGCATCACAGCGGACGGCATGAGCACGTGGCACAGGCTTTCTGGTTTATAGCAGGTTAAATGTAAGGTAAGTAACTGGTAACACAGAAGGGAAGGGAGGGGATGGGAAGGAAAATGAAGGGAAGGGAAGGAAAATTAAAGGAAGAGAAGGAAAATGAAGGGAAGGGAAGAAGGAAAGGAACGAGGGGTAGGAAGGGAAGGAAAATGAAGGGAATGGAAGGAAAATGAAAGGAGGGGAAGGGAAGGAAAATGAAGGGAAGGGATGGAAAATGAAGGGAAGGGAAGGAAAATAAAGGGAGGGGAAGGGAAGGAAAATGAAGGGAAGGGAAGGAAAATGAAAGAAAGGGAAGGGAAGGAAAAGGGAAATGAATTAAACATCTCAGTTGGAGCAGCTGTTTAGAGCCTGAGGGGGATGAAAGTGATGCTTTGCAGAGTGGGAACAGGTGCATTCTGGGTAACATAGAGAGAGAATGTGACATTGATGATTATTAGTACAGTGTTCCTTCAGAGAATGAGACGTGTTGCTCCCTGTGACAGTACTTTGAGACTGTGGAAATCAGGTGCAGCAGGATGAGTCTGCAGCTCTCACTGTGTGGAGTTGGAGTAGAGTCCAAAGTGACCTGCTTGCATGAGGGAAAGATCCTGAACTTCGGATGTGTGTTACCGGGAGAGAGCGCCTCACAAGTGTTTACGGTATGGAGGCCACCTCGGAGTTTCTCCCAAGCTTGTCACCACCAGCAACAGTGCTTCAGCCCCGTTCTCTGTCCCTCTCTACGGCCAGCTTCAGAACACATCCTCATTTCAGGCGAGAGTCCATGTCCACTTGCACAGCCTCTCTCCTACGAAGCACCAGGGGCTCCCAGAATTCCTCACTCTGGGCAGCCTCCCCGTTGTGGGTAAGGCTCTCAGCTAATCCTGGCTCATGGCAAAATGCTGTTTTTACTATTTGTTTGCAGATTTTTCTTCTGTTTTTCTTACTATCAATAAGTGAAGGGTGAGCTATTTGTTAACAGATTTAGGTTTGTTGCACTTTCTAAATATCACATATTTATTTGTCGTTACTTGTTCTTTTGGCCTAATTTTTATCGTTTGAATTAAGTACGCAGTCAGTTACCAATTGATTAGGCATACCTGCTCAGTAACACAAACATCCTGCTCTTTCAAACAGCAAATCATGTGGCTGCACCTCAATATATGCAGCATGCAGACTGATTCTAGGGCTCCAGATACTGTTTGGCTAAGCATTAGAACGGCTGAGATGTGCGATGCGAGCAGCTCTGAACGCAGTGCGATTGTTGGTGCCGTTCATGGAAATGCAAAAATAACAGCCCAGTACAGCAGTGATGTGCTGAACACAATATTATTATTATTATTATTATTATTATTATTATTATTATTATTATTATTATTATTGTCCTGCACTTATTTTTTTTACCTACCTACAAATTTGACTTAAAGACAGACTTTGGGAACAGATCTCATTCGTAACTTGAGATCGGTCTGTACTGACCATTATAATGCATTATGAAAGTATCTATAGTGTAGATACTTAAATGTAAACTATAGATGTAAGCTTCATTGGAGCTCATGAAGTATTATAATCAACACTGTAATGCCTTATGACTCTCAATAGAAGATGCTGTAATGCTTTATTAATTCTTATACCGACATAATAATGCATTATGAAGATATCTGTAGTCCATCTTCAAGAAGAGAACCAGAATTATTAATCACTTAGTAATAAACCGATGATTATTAATAAATCAGCGTTATTTAGTATCAAGAGGTTTTTTCTGTCTGATGTAAGTTTTCTTCTGCGCAGGTACCCAGAATTACAGCGGCCTCTGTGTGTTCAGTGTCTCACCAGTAGAGGGCTCTATACTTCCCGGGAAAACACAGGACATCACTGTCAAATTTCAGCCTGATCACGAGAGCCCTTTCTACTCTGACAGGCTGAGCGTGGAACTTATAACAAAGGTAACTTTTGCACATCTGATTTTTAGTGAATGACACAGCACTAGTCCCCTCTCCCTTCATTTTCATTACCTCCAGAAATTTCATAAGGCCGGATACTCGCAGCCTGGGATGCCCTGGTTAATTCCGCACAGGCAGAGCTGGATCTAGACGTACTTCGCAACAAAAATCTGAGTTTGTGAGAAAACGCTACTCTGGTTTTTATCAGCAGTTAAAATGTAAAATTTTGCATCATTCAAATAGATTAATTTCTTACCAAACAGGGCGACTATTTCATAAACCTTAGGACCTTAGTTTAAATACTAGAACTCGTGGCCATAGGTGGAAATTAGCGGGAGAACATTTTAAACTGGATTTGAGAAAGCACTTCTTTACATAGCGTGTAGTTAGAGTATGGAATAGTCTTCCTGATAATGTAGTGCAAGCTAAAACCCTGGGTTCCTTTAAATCAGAGCTAGATAAGATTTTAACAACTCTGAGCTATTAGTTAAGTTCTCCCCAAACGAGCTTGATGGGCCGAATGGCCTCCTCTCATTTGTGAATTTCTTATGTTCTTATGAGGATGGGAAAACGAGGCTGGCTGAAACATTGCCGGGCAGGCATGACGGTAAACCGTCACGTGGGCTGATGCGTAGGTGACCTGTTCTGTAGCCTATCTCACTTTGCATCCTGTGGCTATTGTCATAGTTCAGGCTAGCTGAGACTCAGCCATGCACTCGCAATACGATGAGACGCGTCATTGATTTAATCATAAGATTTTTCTCCTTAGTCATGACTAGCTTGAAGGAAGTGACTTTATTTTTTTGTACCTAGGAACAAAAATCTCCCTACTGCCCCCTTATTGTTGCACTCATGAGCAGTCCTTTGTCAGCTCCCGCCTTAAGATAAGACCGTTGTTGATCCTCGCACTGTTGCTGTGGGGCACTGAGGTCACCTGGCCCCTGGTGTCAAAACAGGCTCCCAGCCAGCCTTCTCCCCCTCTCCCTGTGTGAGAGCAAAGGGGGGCAGAAGAGCGCAAGGTGTATATGATCCTGAAGGAGCCCCAGTCCGCTGGTGATTACTCACGTTTCAGTGGGCCGAGCCCTCAACACAGTCATGGCTGACTGATCTGTGGCTATTATTATATTGCGATCATGCTAAGTTACATTCACGTGTATCACATGATAAATCAGGCTTAATGCATTATGTAATAGTGCAGCTCAGTGTTTCCCAATCCAGTCCTCGGGGACCTGCCCACAGTCCACGTTTGTCCCGGTAGGGAGCAAAAATGTCTGGCAAGGAGCTGGGAGGGAGCAAAAATGGGCACTGTCTGGGGGTCCCTGAAGGTGGGGTTGGGGAACACTGGTATAGCTAATTACACAGCTTGCTGTGGCAGCAGAGAGTGACTTGTGTACACATGCTGAGCAAACAGTCTCCTTACAACACGGTCAGCACATCTGACCATCGCAAGAGGTCATGGGATGGTATCATCAGGGGGAAATTGCTGTGCTCTGTGAGCCTGTCTTTGTGGGTGATCTATCCTGATATAAGGAACCCGCTTTATCACAGTGCGCTATTTTATTTTAATTATGCACAATCTTCCTAAGATGCACCAGCAGAAAGAAATTATCGTAATTAATCCTTACCAGAATAAAAAAACAGAAGTAATTTACTCAGACAGATGTACAGTGCCTGACAAAAGTCTTGTCGCTTAACCAAGTTGTAGGAACAACAAATAATAACTTGACCTGTAGTTAATCAGTTGGAATCAGAAA